TAATATCTAGATTTTCAGAGGAACTCCAACATGTATCAGAAAATTATTAATTGATTAGAAACATATTGAACTTAATGGGTTCAAAGCTACGATCTGGTGATTATTAGCCATTCATGTCTACCTTTAGACCAACGCATATAACTTTTAGAACAACAATTTTAGACTAAAATATATGTAAGATTCAGGTAAACCATATTATATTTTTAGAGACCACGAGTTGAATACAATAAAAAAGGGCAGTAAGTATTAACCGGTTTCACTTCTACATAAAATAAAATCACAAAAATCTAACTACCCTACTTTCGAATTTACAAATAACACAACACAGAATCTGAATATGAAAGAAAGACAGATTGACTATATAATCGGATAGAGTCCAAGGCAAGTATATAGTATATGCCTTACCACAACTACTTCTTATCCCCGTCTTGATGACGTCAGCTCAGTATTCCTCGAACAATGTAACATAATTTATTATGATAAAGTAGTGAATCACTTTAATAGGCTTGGTGATGTGTTACTAGAGACAGTGGTCCGCACACCGAGACGACTCCGTACCAAATGCCTCGCGATACAACGGAGTCGTGCGCGTGCGCTTTGCGCGTGCCACCTGCGTATAGTATCGCTGTCCCATTCTATTCTGAACTACCCACGCCGTCGTATACAAATATATATTCAAATATTTTCGTGCTTCAATTAAATGTGTTGTATAAACCACGCCTACTGCAAAGGAGCCCAATCTTATTTAAAATAATTTGTTAATAAGTTTAGCTAAAGAATTTCGTGTTTTAAACAGTTAAAGTGTTTTATTTAAATGTACTAGCGTAAACTATAGAGTACTAACTAAAAAATATGCGCCGATAAATGTTATGGCTTAACCCTAACTATATTCAGGAAATATTAAAGCAAGACATGTAGTTACCGCATATGAGACCTTACACTTGAGTGTGTTATAACAAAAGAGATATGTATATTATATGATTCATGTTGTGTGATCAATAGGGTCGTACTCGCTGTAAACTATAATCTCTTGAGTAGAAGCCCTGTGCTTCGTAGAATTTGCTATGCGATATAAAAGTAAATGTTTGAATTAAAGTGCCTGAGAACGATCCGACGTTTTTACAGTGAAGGACGAAAACTTTTCTTTTCAATCTTTCCTAAACTGAAAACTCTTTCCTAAACTAAAAGAATATAGTTTTGGTATTGAAATAAAAGAATAGTAATGAACAATAATTTATTAATATATGACCTTACACATAACTACTATGTACAGAATATAAACAATGTAATTCTATCACATTTTTCTAAAATATCAAAGTACCTTTATGTTAGCGGCCTTGGTACAACATTCATGAAACATTGAATAATGTAACCAGTTAATTTTTAATTTAATAGTCAAAATATAGCACTAAATACCGATATCTACAGATTATTATGTATGTACAGAAGTTATAAGATTATATTGTAAGAGGGGGCAATTCTAAAACATCGATATAAGATCTACGTCTTTTTGCGACTGCAGCGTTCGTAGCATTTATGTCACCAAAATTTATAATTGCCTCCCTGTTTTAACATTGTATCTTAACCGTTAAAAATAATTTTATATTCTTTGCGGGATCACTAGAAACGGTGACCATTTGTGGTCAAACAATTTGCATATACACGAATCAAAAAATTGTTTATACATTCACTTTATTCAATTAAGCTTAGTGAGATAACCATACATTTTTAACAACGCATTCAATAAAACAATGAAAATACTTACCAAAATATAGGCCTATTAAGTAATTTAAGATGTTCATTAGCGGTATAATATAATCAGATATTTACAATGTTTTTAGTGAAATCCACTGATTAAGTATCGATATAAATACATATTACGTTATATACAGATGATAACAGTGACCGAGAGAAAAAAATACACCAAAGCAAAATTTTACTCAATTATTCTCCTCGGTAGCAAGACAATGCTGAGCAGTTATTTTTAGCTAAGATTTTCGAATTCAATTTTATTTAAATAAGCTTAAACATTTTGAGCTGTGAATATACATTAAATAAATAATATTACAATTAAAGATTATAATACTTATGACTCAATTTGACACATACAAATTTAACTTAATAAATATACGTATCAAAAACAGATGTTAATATAAATTATGTCGAAACAGCTTACAGCTTATAAATTCACAATCATAGTCGCCAAGCAATATTTATGTAATATTTAAAAAAAACATTGCATACTATTTTAAAAGGTTTATATTTTATTGAAATACGGAGAGTCCTGAAAAAATAAAGGTAATTTTTAATCTATATGTAATATTCACATTGAGATGTATAGATTGATAAGTTATCCATAATATTAACGCATACGGCTTAATGTAATAGGTTGTAGACGTGCCCTGCTCCTGGTATGTTCCCAACTGCTCCAGCGACTATACCAAATCAAAATATGTAGACATTCCAATTTTACAAAACTAGGTAAAAGTACTCCATATTTTTTTCTGAATCATGGCAACGAAAACCTCGAATTGCAATCAAATCCTTTTTTGCGACGCAATCAAAAGATACGTTCTAAAACCTATTAAATTTTGCCGTTGGCGTTAGATGTTAACCTGTCTCTATCTACATTTTTACGTTTTAAAAGATGACAGTAGGTATACAATACTAGAAAGTTGGAAAAGGTATTCCTAAGACAAACTTTGGACATGTTTACGAAAGTAGGAAACTCACCAGAATTTTTGTGATTTGTACTGTAAAGATACTAATGCTTAATTTTTCAAATAAACATGTCTTCTTGTCCTTCCTTAAACAGACGTCCGTTCTGATATGTGTAGTTTTTGATAACAAAATATATAATATTTATGGGGAGTGTATACTGAACTTTTAAATTGCTTTATATCATTGTTTTTCGGGCTGCTCGGCCGACGTGAGCGAGAAGAGGTTCTCGACGTTTCGCCTTCACGAGCGGACGGCATCATCAGAAGATGTTAGCTCCTCGATTGCTCGAACAATTATGTATGATGATACCGTCCACTCGTCCTCTTCTCGCTCACGTCGTTACGACTTTTGTTAGACAATTTAGTTTAATTGGTATTAAACCAGATTACTCTATTACAATATCCATTTCCAAATATAACTATGACAAAGGCTTAGTTTGGGAACTGCGTAATGAGAGCCAGTTCAATGTGGTTTGTTCCACTTGTAACTAGATAGTTGTGGCTTTGAATGAAGGAATTAACGATAATGGGATAAGCGTTAATGGCTACACGTAGAACTGAAAAAGGTATGCGCATTTTACCAACAAAAACGCACCAAAAGTTATTTTAAAACTCCTTAAATCGCAAACTTTTTAATTTTTCACATTAAAATATCTAAATAGATTTTAAATGAATGCCTTAAATCTCCATTCGAAAAAGAATAATGGTATTTTAGTGTGGAGATGGTATTTAATTGTAAACTTCTATGTTTTTCCTACCTGATATTTATGTGCCATGTCTAAAATAATGATTGTTCAATTTTACTCTTGATTTTAATTAATATTTGGAGCAGAGCGTAATCCGAACGTTTCGCCTAATTGGGACCGATATTGTAATAGCTATTATTATTCCATCATGACTTATTAGTGGAATGTTAAAAATAAACGGTTTTGCACGATCTTCTGCTTAACAATTTCTAAAATTAATTTAAGCACTTAACGGATTTATTCGTGTTCCATTTAAGAATATAATTAGTATCGTGTTTAAATAAAGCTTTAACGATTTAAAACACTATATATATATATAGTAAAACTTATTTGGAAATTATTTTAACTACGACCCGACGTTTCAGATGCTTTGTAGCCGTGGTCACGGGGATATTAAAGGTGGAGGTTCTCTAATATCGAAGTAAAACTACGCTACGGCCATCTGTTTCGTCGTAGTTGATGTTTGGCTTGTGATTGTGGCCTATCCTACTCGCGTAAACTACAGACAGTATATATTGTCATGTTATCAAACATTTATTGTTCGTGCCTTTATGATTATAATAACAAAACTGCCAAGAAACATTTTATATTAATAGAAGGGTCGTACCGAGGCCAAATTTATGGTGCCGACGTGATTCCATGAATACGATATTAACTTTTATATTCACATAACATTGTGAAAGTGATGAAAAATTCTATGAATAACACAATATAGTGTTTGCCGTATAATTTCTTTACTTATTACGGAAACATCAACCCTTAAAAAATACTAAAATACTTTTAAATAGAACACTTTAACGGTTTAAAACGCGATATATTAGTAAAACTTAACCGTCTCCCCGTAACCACGGCCGCTGCAAAGCATCCGAAACGTCGGGCCGAAGTTAAAAATCATTTTTCAAATAAATTTAACTTATATATCGCGTTTTAAACTGTTAAAGTGTTTTATTTAAATGTGTACTACTCGCGTAAACAATCTCGCGTACTAAAATACTTACTCTATTAGCAAACCGACATTCCTCATATCAATAAATATCAGTTGCCATGGAGTTCTTAAGAATCTTGAAAAATATTCTTTTAAATACTGTCTGTAGTTTACGCGAGTAGTACACATTTAAATAAAACACTTTAACGGTTTAAAACGCGATATCAAAATAAGTTTAAGTAATATATATCACGTTTCAAACCGTTGTAGTGTTATATTCAAATTATCTTTTATTTCCAAACCGTAAGATAAGTATAAAATATGCAATTAATTTTATCCTCCTTTAATTTACAAGTACGTCTTTCATCTCTTAAATCTTTAAATTAACACTATTATGTGAAAGCTGAATCTCAGAAAAGAATTTTATTTGAAACGACTCTTACATCGTTTTAAAATCCTCATTTTCAGACGTTCTACTTTTCAAATTAGCATCGCATTCAAAGAGTTACAAATCACTGGGCACAAAAGGAAGTAACCAGTCCAGAGTTTGTCTCGAGAAAACGGGCCTTATCCTAATGTGATAGGGTAGATATCTGCTTAATCCAATTGTCACCGGAGCATGTTAAAAGCTATTGTTGTGTATAAGCTGTGTAAAATGTTTAGGTGGATGTAACTTGGCGATGAGGATTGCATGGCGGCTGGATTTTCACCTGAAACAAGAAATTCCATTTCAAACACTTTCATCAAGGGTTAAGTGTAAAAGGGTTTATAATTTAAGTCACAGCAATAAAATATAAACCACATTTAATCAAATAATTAAAAATGTTTATTTTGATAGAAATGTGAGTAGTCCCACGGGTGGGACTTGAACCGACATCTACAGTGTTCCGTGCTGCATCTCTAGCCTTTTAACTAAATTTTGTTACAATCTAAATAGATTTTTGACCGCGTCTGTGGCCAAGTGGTTAAACGTATTGCCTAGCATTGCGTTAAGCACGAGAGGCCCTGGGTTCGAATGCCAGGGACAAAAAAAAATGTTTTGGTCGGGGAGGGCGAAAAGTGGGATCAACTACTTGCCTATTAAAGAACAGATCAGTGATACGAACACAAAAATATGTTCGCCCCATGCCCCAAGAGGGCGATTTCACTACTAAATAGATTTTTAATTTTATCATGTTATTATGTACAATAATATGTAAGTTTTCATTAAAGTAGTTTCATACGAAATATCTTTAATATTTGTTGTGTACTGTTAGTATATCAAAGGTTATGGATGTAATTATCAACGTAAAATTAATTCCAGTATCATAACTAATTGCGGTTGATTAAGTATATAGTATTATATATTTCATGTTCAATTTATTTATGAGGCTGCTAGAGCCAGAGTGGCCTGATAAGAAAAAACATGATTTTCAATAAAAATGCGCAATTAACTTAGACGAAAATGAATTTGTACTATTATTTGTGTAAGAAATATGTTAACAATTTTCAGTGACTATGGTCTTGTATATTACCATTTTTATGAATAAGTCAACACATAAAATTGCAGGTTTCGGGCTCTAGCGGCCTCATATATCCTCTCAGTGTTGAATTTAGATTTTAAATAAAACATAGCACGAGTTTCATACAATTCAGTTTGTATTTCAAGTATCAGGCGCTTGTTAGGTGTCCCTCTATTCTTCCGTTAAAATAAAATAAAAGTAAGGTCAGCAGTGACAATTTCATTTAGAAAGGATGCGGAGCTGAACATCGTTCCTAGGATTACGTAACTTTCATATCTCGTTCACCTTGAGTAGTACGGATAGTAAAAAAATATCACTTTTTATTTTTATGGCAGTACGATCAATTCAATTGCTTTCTAGGTGTTTTTATTGATATAACTCAATTTAAATAAAACAATTTAACGGTTTAAAACGCGATATATTAGTTAAACTTATTTGAAAATGATTTTAACTTCGGCCCGACGTTTCGGATGCTTTGCAGCAGCCGTGGTCACGGGGAGTCTCCCCGTTAAAGTGTTTTATTTAAATGTGTACTACTCGCGTAAACTATAGACAGTATATAACTCAATTGTCTATGATATTTTATGACAATAATTTAATGACATTGTAAAATATAACTATTACTAAGACAACGGTTATAAATGTTTTAATTTGACCACGATAACAGTTTGATGAGCTTACATTAAAATTAAAAAAGCAGAAATCGTCAGAATGTTATTAATTAAAGGTGTCAAGTTTGACATAGCATCTACCTAGTAGTTTGTTAATATAATTTTAGATGTTAAAGGCAATAAAAAAACAGAATAAATCAATGCTTAAACACATTTAAATTAAACATTCTAAGGCTTCAAAACGAGACATATATTAGTTAAACTTATTTGAAGATTATTTTAACTACGACCCAACGTTTCAGATTCTTTGCAGAAGCCGTGGTCACGGCGAGACCTTCTTTCTCCCCGTGTCTCCGTTAAGCCGTTAAAGTGTTTTATTTAAATGTACTCGCGTAAACTACAAACAGTATTTACCAAAACACACGTTCAAATTTAAATGCATAAAACATACATTAAGATTTTATTCTTGTGCTATATTTTAATAAGTTGTCAGTTTTTGCGAACCGTACTTGAGTTATCTTCGCTTGGAGGTTGCGATTTCTATAATACCGGTCTTTAAGCGGTCCCCACTACAACCCCGTCCAATTTTCTGCCTAAGAGAGATTAAATTGCTTACTAAAATGTAATGTGATTAATTTAACTTGATAACGTTAAATTATATTATCTTGAATACGCGTAAGCTTGTCATCCGATTTCAGTATTTAAAGTAAGACTAGAGATACTGGCCTATCGTTATACAACGTAGTTAAAGCTTTATTGTTCGTATTGTCTATCAATAAAGTATTGTTTTTCATTGAAAATTTTACATTGTTAAACAACAATTTGTGATAGATAAAAATACTCATATAAAAAATTAATTAAACATTGGAAATAAATTGTTTTGATATTATTGACAATTATTTTTGGTTGTAGACTACTAATATACAAAGAAGGAATTATAGTAAAATATAAAAGTGGGAATTGAAAAATTCTTTTTCTATTGGTTATAACTGGGGAGATTATTAACTTTGTGGGTTTCGATTGCGTTCGCTGCGAAAACAGTTCAAGATACCCAAAAAATATCAAATATATAAACGATCTAACAAAGTATCCGCGAAAGTAAATGTCTATCTATTAAGATTCTCTAGGACGCGAAAAAAGTCGCGGGTAGAGCTAGTTTAATATATACACAAATATGCGAACGACAGATTTATGTTAATGGAAATTAATGCAGTGAAAATGAAAAAAGAGATGGCGAAAACGTAGTTCCATTTTAACCCTTTTAAATTGAGTGACCAGTTTGCTAATTAAATCGATCGTGTGGGTCTAATAGGCCGTGGCCAAGAGAACGGGCTAAACGGCCGGTAGATGGCTCAGTAATGGACTAGAAAATTGACTTATACAACCCCTATACATGTCTTTATATGCCTCGGTTTTAATACTACACTTTGTTAACGTGTTGTTTAGAAGTTCATATGAGAAAAAGGTAGAATGTATTTTCTGAAATTTAACATATTATGTTTTGTTTTGTTTTGTGTTTTTATTGTTTGTATTTATAACATATGTATGTATACATACTGTCTATAGTGAGTACTATACACATTTAAATAAAACACTTTAACGGTTTCAAACGCGTCATATTTTAGTTATACTTATTTGAAGATTATTTTAACTACGGCCCGACGTTTCGTCGTAACTAATATATATCGCGTTTTAAACCGTTAAAATGTTTTATTTAAACTTATGTATATATAGATTTGGAATATAATGGATTGTAGGGATAATATTTAATAAATAAAGCAGTTTACACCATCTTGTTTTTTATAGTTTGTGTGTTTAAATATACACAAAGGCGCTTTACAATCGTCTTATCAACAGGTTATAAAGATAATTGCACTAAATATTGTTATATATTTGGATTTAATTATTAATTCAGATGATAAGAAAACATTACAAAGTACAGAATATTTATTTTACTATTTTAGCTGTTTGTTGCTTTTGTGTTACATATGTTAAAAATATAATATATACGTTAAAACAAGTTTTTATTCTTGATTTTATCTTCATTAAGATTTTAATTATTGTTATTCGTGTCTGAAGATCCCTTACTTTTTTTTCTATAGACGTGTTACACGCAGATGAACTTAAAAAATCCATCAATTCATTTTTCAATAGCCATTCACGTCTGAGCTGTAAGCTAGACGTGGGAACACTTGCAAAGTAATAAGGCTTTGAATTGAAGTATGAATCATCTGAAACAATAAAGCTGTGGTCTAACATATACGCTGTAGGTCGCGTATAGCGTAACGAGTCACGGCTAGATGTGTATGTTATTGTCTCCTTTACACTGACTTCAGTAAACAATCATTATACATGTATTTACATACTACAAATCTGTAGTTTACGCGAGTAGTACACATTTAAATAAAATACTTTAACGGTTTGAAACAAGATATACAAAGCCTCCGAAGTGTAGGCCGTAGTTAATATAATTTTCAAATAACTTTAACTGACGTTTTAAACCGTATTTTTATTTAAATGTATTTATAAGGAAATTATTGGCAGCGTTTGTACCTAGCATGGCCATAAAAGTCTCACTGTAATAATATATGACTAATAAAAACAGGCTGTGGGTTCGATCGCCACCGGGTCCAACATTTTAAGCAATGTTTATTATTTCTGAAACATGTTGGACTTCGTCTGAAATGTCTGGACATTAAATGGGTGGTAGGAATATCTAAATTGTTGTGTCACGATATCAGCGTGCACGATGAAAAAAGCCGCGAATTTTATTCGCGTTTCAGTTTCAGTCTGTTGGTTTCCGAATAAAAAAAAAACCCAAAATATTCTTATGTTGAGGTGAATTATTGGAGAGGTGATATATCAATAGGTTGAAAAAATTGACGACGATGAGGTGTAGGTACTCGGTAGCTCAATTGGTAGAGCAACAGCACGGTAAGCTGACGATGCCGTTCAAGTCCTGCGCGAGTCGAAAATTTTTTAATTTATTTTGATTTTTAATTAATAACGCCAAAATATTCGACAGCGCATCTTGCTCAAATGTTATATGGCTGGCGTTTTTCTCCTTTTTTTACCAAGTGAAACCCGTGCTTGTCTGTCCCCCTCTATCAGATAAAAAAAAATGATTTCACATCCCAGTCCAGCTAGTGGCTGGCTAAACTGGAATATTGTTGATCTAGCTTCATAAATTAAAAAGACGCTTTATGTGAACATTACGTGGCGTAATGCGTTACCATGTACATGGTCTACGGAACCACAGCCTAAAGGACTAGGAATGCAGTAATTGCAACGCTTTTCGCTGGGTCACGAGCTCATGACCCACTTACGGCGAGAACAATGCGTATGCTATCAATAACGGCCTTAATGTGTTCAAACGACAACACACTACTTTGAAAATCATGGTTCTTCGGAACTTAATGCGATAGTTTCGGAAGCAGAAATAGGTCGGCAGCGAACCTTAATTAGATATTATTGGGCTATTGCATTGAAACGCAGTGGTTTGTATATTCTTTTACATAAATAAGCTAACTTACAAAATTCTCAAATTCATTATGTTATGGCATAGCTAGAAGGTTATTTCTCTTAAGTTCTTCAATCGAGCGTGGCGTAGTATGATCAACTAGAAACTAGAACTTAAAAGTTTTAATAATGACCGCTTTTGAAAACCTTATTAAACGAATTGAACAAAAACAGCGATATCCCCTTATATACTACGTGGGAAGTGGGATATATTTCACAATGCGATGCGGAAAAAAATCATTCTTCAATCAATTGAATATCCTGTTTCCTACAGATGGAATAGATATTTTTCTGCTCTCTGACTTTATCCATTTCACTGATCGATTTTTGATTTTGCAGACAATACACTTAAATTTGCAATCCTTAATTTAGGTCTTTTCGTCTCTTTCGCGCCTGTCATTCTCTCTCGCTCTTTAATTTCATACCATGCATTCCACACTTGTGTTCCCTGCACGGTAGTAATTATATATTTTTTGTTTTCCGGGGATTATCTTGCAACATTATGTTAATGTTATTTAATCCAATAAGACACGAGGACATTCTGACTGCTATAATAAGAGTATACAAAAATTGAAGCTGTAAAAATACTTGCCATTAAAAATATGAACGTAAATGCTAGCAGGTACAGCATTATTCGGCACGCAGGTGTAATTCCCAGCATGAGACACACTCGCCGCAGGAATCAATAGGTCGGACAGACGCTGTTCTGTGTCCGTTGTCACGTTGATGCCTCGTTCCACGTCATAGTTGATCATCCTGCTGTTGTGGTACCTTTAACAAGGAATACACATACTTAATATATTATTGTCGAAATGCGATATAATTTTGTTAATTGTTATAAATAACCATCTTGCAAATTCGTGTATGTAAAACGAGAAATGCGTTGCCAACTGTAACTATAAAGAAGGCTAGCAATTAGACACACATCTTCACCAAAGACTATAAAAAAACCGAGAAATGTTACAGATGTTATTGCATAGTTTTTAATAATAACTTTCATTATTTTTCAAATGTGTACTATATAACGATGCCGGTTCAAATCCTGTCCGAGTCCTAATTTTTTTCAATGTATAATCGAATTTTTAATTTAGTCACATAGTGTGTTAAATTATTGTATATGAAATGAAATCTCATTAAAATTTGCTTAGTATTTTAATTGCTAGAGTAACACGGACTAACAAATCATTACCCGTCATTTCACCTTCGCTGTTAGTAAAGAGTCAACGAACTCAAGTACTCAAACGTGATTCGCTTAACGAAAATGGAATTTCGAACAAATAATAAATATTCATGATTTAGGTGTAATAAAATTTTGATAGAGCTTACATTTAAAACATCAAACGTATTCGCAATAGATCATTGAAAATATACAATTGAAAGATAAAGTTATTTAATAATATAAATGCAAGTATTTTATTAAATAGTTTAGTTACATCAAAACATTATGGACTTATCTGTAAAAACATAGAATATACAAAAACACAGATTAGATTTATTAACTTAAATGTCTACATTCATCTATAAACATAACTTTTTCTTATGCAGTAAAAATGATCGTATGATTTATTTGTATTGTTTGAAAAGTTAATATTTAAATAAAAGTCTTCACGCGTTGCGTCCGTTCCATGCGCTGTGAAAACGAATTAAAGAAACCAAAAATATGTATGAAAGAATGATTCTTCTTTAAATTATTTAAAAATATTAATAATAACTTGTAAGAACGTTAGGACGCGAATGGACGATGGCGTGAAAAATAGCTATAATTTATAAAGATGAGGATGCTTGCGAAAACAAATTTTGACATCCCAAATTCTACAAAGATTCTACGCGAACGAAGTCGCTCGCACAGCTAGTATACTATACATTGCGCGTTGTTTATAATCTGAAAATGTATCGTTAATTTCGGAATGACAGACGGACGCTCATTTAATTTAATCAGAGCTTAGGAATGGCAATAACTATTAACCTTTGGTAGGACATTTCGTCCATTTGTCTCAATAAATGTTTTTCACATGGCGACAAATCTTTTTTATACAGTTTAGTCCACTAAAAAAGTCTGGAATTTTCCATTGGCGTAATGGATATACTAGATTTATTTAGTAACTTTTATTCGCAAATAAACTAAGAAATTTTTATTTAGCAGTAATTTTTATTCTCGACGTCATTGTTAATAAAAAATTCGATGCGAAATATTTTTGCTATTTTAAAAACATCGCATTAAAGCAATTAGTAACGTAATCTTTTGAAACTTGCCAATATTAATAATTGGGTAGTCTTATATATAAATTTCGTTTTCCAGGATACAAAAGCCAGGAAAAGTCGTAATCTTTTAGTTTAATTTACAATTTAAGAGAAGAAGATTACAAAATAAAAAGAAGAAGAAAAAGTAAGTCGTCTTTCTATATAAGCCTCTAGACACACTTTGTTAGCCTTAGTGTTCGGCCCCTGTTTTACCCTTTAATTACGGAACCCTAAAAACAGAGCAGTTCCAATAATGAGATGCGATTGGGAGTTAAATTGCATTCGGCAGGTGCTTTTTATTATATTCCAAGTTTCACGGCATTCGAATGCAAGAGGCGAGAAATTTTGTTTGAACGAAAATTATATTGAAAATGCAATATGCCACTTTTCTTTGATATATGCAGACTATCGTAGACTATAAGGTTTATGAGATAGTATGAAATGGATATGGAAATTCTATTTCGCGGAGAGTGCGCGACATGCTTATGAGTGAATTTTTTAGTCAATTTCGAGAAACACTTCTGCAGTATTGGAAAAATTCTTTACAGTTATGTTTTTTTTATTTTTTACACAAAAACCAATATACAATTCAAAAACATATTTTTAAACCGTTGACGATTTTTTATCCGTTGCTCGAAAAACATAGATACCAATATCAACTAATTTTAACTAAAATTAACAAAATAATAAAAAAATAAACAACCTAAAAGTATTAACTAATTTATATATATGATTGAAAAAAGCTGAATTTCAAATATATATTAAACTAAAAAAAAATTAAACTCACTGTAACACGGTATTTTGTATTTAAAACTTTGACTATTTTAAGCATTTTAATATAAAAAAATGGCACAAAGAGTTTGAATTAAAAAAATTCTGACACCTCACAGCGCAGAGAACTTGGATCGCCTACTAAATTAATTGATTTTAAAAGAAATAACTTATTTATATCTAGTAACAGGGAAAGAATACCATTAAGAATGACTTGTAGTACGCAATATCACTACGTCTTCCCTTTGAGGGTTCTTATAACTACGTAGACAAGTCGTAAGATTATAGTGCTACGGCGCGCGTAGCACCTACGTAATCGTAGACACTACACGTTTCCTTGATTCACTTTTTAGTATCATGCAACAAACATCTTTTTTAGTTTTTTGTTTCTACTCACAATTTAACTTACACTTATACAGATAACAATTAACTTTGTACAAAATGTGTATATTTATCTTTTTAAATGGGTAACCTTTTAATGTAATAATTAATAAATAAAATATACTATGTTCTATTTACATATAAAAAAATTATTTAGATTCGTAAATATTTTTATGTTTGTCTGTCTGTTCGTCGTGATTCTATAGAGTGTTCAAAAGAGCAACATAACTGAGAAGAACACACAAGAAACTCGGTTCGGCTTTTTTAACTTGTCTTATAAACTAATACATTGTTGTGAATTTATTAACCTAAGGAGGAATTAATATGGCCAGGCGGTCTTGTCATTAAAGAAATCGTTCAGATAATAATACACCTTTTGAGACAATGTAAGTTTTATAACTTTCTTAAATTTATTTATCGATAAATTTGAAATCTCGACTAGCAATGTACTATACATACTAATACAATTCCCCGCAAATAAGATATTTTATGGAGCCTATATTTGGGAATAGCTAGTTTATCCTTATTTCATAAGTTCAAATGATGCCTATCACTATTCTTGCTGAACTTGCTTGCTTGAATACTTGTTACTTGTGTGTTAAGTATGATAATCTAACAACGGTGAGATTAACATATTTACGTTTCGGTAAAGGATAACTTTTAATGTTATTAAATTAGTTAATTAAATTTAAAATGTTATAATTTAAATACTGTCTATAGTTTACGCGAGTAGTACACATTTAGAAAACATTTACAAGTTAAAAATCATTTTCAAATATTTTTAATTAATATATCGAGTTTTAAACCGTTACAGTGTTTTATTTAAATGTTATAATTTCTTAAGATGTAAAAGGGGAACGTTTTGAAATTCTTGTCAAGATATCCGGTCTAATAAAACACCCTTTTCGCGATAGTAAGATTTAGCAAGAAATGTGAAACATTTCTGGGGTGTAATTTTACAAACAATTTCCAGTTTATTATACTCTAGGCAGTAATATACTCTAAGAAGTACACTACATTGTATAATTTGTTTTTATGGAAGCAGAGAAAGTTAAAGGTAATGTTTACATGTATTGTATGAATTAAATTCGTCATACATCTATTGACATTATGATAAAACTTGGTATTTGGAAAATATACCTTCTTTAAAGAATAGACAAGAACAAAAGGAAACATGGAGTTTCATGATAGAAGACAAAATGTTTCACTCTACGACAATCAATTTAGATGCTTAGTCGACTTATATTTTTCCTCAATGTGTCCGAATCGCGAGAGATAAAAAACCTACGAACTGTGTTAAGCTACACACTGCTACTGACCTTACACGTAAACTAAATGTGTAACATAACATATAACATGAAAATTTGTTAAGCGGACATAGTTAGAAGACAGATATGAATACGGTACATATTTAAATTTTGATAAATTATTTTTATCAAAATTAAATATGTCGATTTTACTATATGATATACATATTATATGAAAATACGTATGATTTAAATTTAAGTTTCAACTAAAAATTGAAACATACAAATCAGAAAACCGTATAAAACCAATTACAAGTGATAAAGTCTCACTTTATGATACAGAGAAAAGAGTTTCTTTGTAGAGAATAAGACAAATGCTACAACTAATAGAAGAGGGGCTGGCGCTTTGTATACAATTTGATTATTCCTATTTACTTCACAACAATTGATCTCTTATTTCCCATCAACTGAAATAAGTTTCTTTGTTCCTAAAATTTGAACTTTGTCGTATAGTTCTTAGCTACGGGGTTTTAAAATTGAACAGCGAACGCAGACATGATAATGGAAAAGTGAAAAGTAGCGGAGAGGGATAAAAAAAATCCACTGTATCCACTTAGTAAAGCAATCGTATCTCCGTAGCGAAACAATTTAGTCTGAGCGTCGAACCGCAAAATGGCGAACTAAAATTTTACCGAAAAGTATAAAGTTTTACGGCCACTCGCTGAAGGCTAAACGTGCATTTTATTTTCATTTACGCGGTGAAAATTAGTTTTCATGTCGACTTCAAGCACCGCTGAGCAACTGAAATGATTTGTCGAGGATTTAATTGAAGGAAACTTTTTAGGTACGTGGTACGTGGTCCGTGCTTAAAGCCCTATTACAACTTTTTAGTTCAATTCAATTGTAATAAAATGAATATTAGACATTGAATTTTGCCTCCCTATAAAGTAACCGTTGAGAACTTGTCTGTCAAGTATGTTTGATGGTAATTTAAAGAATAAATTATCTTAAATGTAACGCAAATTTAATAATTAGAAATGTTGATTTATACGGTTTAATATTAAAGTACAGTAAGGAATAATTCAAGGTTTTCTACTTTAATATATATATAAGCAACATCTTATCGTCCCTACATGTAAATTGATATTTCAATCTTCCTACAAAATGTCTTAAATTTCCTCTTGGGATAATTATTAATAATGCTTTGTCTTAAAGGCCTCGATAATTAATAAACTTTTAACGGTTTAAAACGCGAAATACTTATTACTGAAATAACCACAGCACCTACAAAATATCCTAAATCTAGTCGACCCGTAGTTCAAAAGAAAAAGTAAGTAAAAAATTTCACGTTTTAATCCGTTAAAGGTGTTTTATGTACCTATCGCAATGCTTATAAAACTTACCAGAAAACAAAAGCTGGCGCCTCAGTGGTCTGTACAACGGAGCATTGCAGGCGGAGGGTTGAACCAGGCTTCAGGTACTTTTCAGTTGGCCCAGAAATTTGCGCGCGGGCCTCTGAAAAAGTACACTCGTTAATTCAGCACAAACTTGTATAAGTTCAGCTAAGCGATGCAGTAATTAAGAGTCGCCATTTTCAAGGTAATAAACATAATTATCCGAACGATCGTTTTAACTTCACGGTGAAACTTCGGGTTAATAATTGACGTAATACTTCGTTATTTTTTATTGAAAACGACCAGTTTACACGAATTCTTCTATTCGCATTATGATAAAACTTGGTAATTAGGAAATATACCTTTTTTTAGAGATTAGACGAGAACAAAAGAAAACATATGGAGTTTCATGATAGAAGGCAAAACGTTTCACCCTACGACTTTCAATTTAGATGTGTAGTCGACTTATATTTTTCCACGAACTGTGTTAAGACACACATATCTGCTACTGACCTTACACGTAAAGTCAATGTATAACATAACATATAATATAAAAATTAGTTAAACGGACATAGTTAGAGGACAGATATGAGTACGTGTATTAAATTGTTCTAGGAATCTCGTAAGCTTCTAGTTTTATTTCAATGCTCGGATTTCAAAACGATCTCTGTTCTGTATGAATTATGAACGATCTATGTGACGTGTGTTTTTCAGTTTAGATCGTATTGAGGACGTTGTTTGTCGGCTATAAAGGGATCAGGACATTTTTAGTATACACTGATTATAAATGGAAGGGTATCATGAGTTAAATGTCTATAGTTTACGCAAGTAGTAATACATTATATTTAAATACTCTAAGCGATTGAAAACGCGAATTGTATTATTTAAACTTACAGATTATTTTAAGTACGCCGTCGTCACGGGGAAAACATACGTAACGTCGGGGTGGAGTTTAAAAAAAATTGTAAATAAGTTTAACTAATACATATCGTATTTTAAACGTGTTTATTGTAGTTAAGAGTATCCAATTTACGTTCGCGAGTTGGAACCGTCCACCAAATTTATGTTCCAAATTTTTGTTTCAAAAGGTGGACAGATAATAAGCATGGGTTTTCACTCGATCGAATAGATGGAAATCCGTGTCCCATATATGGGGCGTACAACATTTGTGAGCAGTTTTTGTTTTATAACCATTCTGTGTAATATAAATTTTTTACCGGTTCCCAAACCCAGGATTGCTCTTATATCGTATTGATATAAAGCGAAGCTTTGAGATAAAACGTAGAGAAATATGAACGTAATTTAAATGTAGAAAATGTAGGTTACTTCGATTCAATAATTTTTAATCAACAATAAAATAGAACTACAAAAAATAATTTCCTTCCTGAAGGAAATTAATAAGGCTTAATCTGCTCGTGTACTACCTAATAAACTTAATTTGGTATAATTTTTCTTGAATGAACTCTAGTAGATAATGGCGGAGGCTTACCCTAACAACGAAGTCGTGTCAAAAAGCCCTCTTAAAAAATTAAAAATTCAAACCCTCGGCTGCCTCAGGCGAAACAACTTAACCCAAAAATAATTAAGAGCCGTGTGAATATAAATTACTTTTAATATTAAACCACCGAAATTGCTTCCCGTTTTTTTTGAAGTTCATTTGTATGAATACGGGTTTTTAAAACTCATTAATTAGTGGGACGCCATTTAGGCTATATAAAAAACTATTTTATTTATATAACACTAGCTGTGCCCGCGATTTCGCACGCGTGGAATAGTGACTTGGGGTAGAATTTTTAATTATTTAGGCTGTTTATTAATTTATGTAGTTGCGCATTTATCGTAGCCAATCTATGTTGTAAGTGCTACTTTGCCGCAACACTCTCACATCATATCACTCCTACTCCCACTCCCACTCCTATTCCCAAAAAGGCAAAGAATAAAGCTTAATTGTTCTAGCTTCAAAATAGCACGAATTTCCATACAAACTAGGGGGGTTGTAAGGGACTAAAAGGGACTAAAAGGGACTAAAGGGGGGTGAACCCCCCTTTTAATCTAAGCATATATATGAAATATCTGTTTTTTTATTACATAATATATGTTAACAGTTTCTTAATAACGGCATCCAACCGCGGCAATAAACCCGAAACTAGATCACTGAACAGCGACTGGATTGAGATAAATGAAAAGGGCCTTCTATTCCAATTTTCTGAGTGCGGGCGTAAACTAGATTTATAATATACTTACCAACTACATCTAAATGTAGAAATATGCTAGTTGGAGGGTGTGAGGAGACTTGGCACTCGTATATACCCGCGTCCCGCTTTTGAACGAAACGAACCTTGAGTGTCCAATCCTAGAACAAATGAATGTAATGTGTCAATTGTCACTACACATATTATCTTAATCGCTTAATGGCTAGTGGGAAAATATAATTATGAGAAATGTTGTAGCTAAACGGTCGAATCCTGGAAAAACAAAGAATTCACAAGACCTTTAAAAGTAAGATCAGACATCTGTATGTCTAATCAAGTAATGAACAGTTTTACTTCTAGGTTCAGGTGCCGTCTGTGTCCTGTATATCGTCCACTTAAAAACACTTTTTTTTTTATATTATTGTATATTACAGTGTGGCTACATTTTTTTTGCCCAACCTAACTATGTTTTATTCATAATTCCTTGTAGAAAATAAAAATAAACATATTATTATTATCTAGTAAGCAATTTAAAAACATCGAATAAATAAAAAAAAGTGTTTTATTAATGTGTATACTCGCAAAAAGACTGAATTTAAAATTACTTGTCTCTTTTAAGAACGAAAAAATTTCGAACAAAAATATACGGGTTAGTAATTTATTCAGAAGAGCCAAGGTTTATGCAGCGAAGTTAGTACGCTTATTATAAACTTTAAATACAAATAAAAGCGAGGTATGGTGAGTTGTCTATTTTTATTCTCGTTCGTAACTCTTAGTTGGTGCTATGTATTTTCAGACGTCTGGTGAAATTTATAATTCAGAACTGTTAATGAAAGGTAGTTTTTGAGATCGGCGTTAGTTCTATTAATTGTGTTAAAATCAATATTTTTTCGGTGAATAGAATACACGTATATTATATATATATTATTTACACTTTGGCACAGAAAAATAAAACACACAAAGCAAATTTACAACTATAAAGTTTACCAGGCGACCTTATCGTTATGAGCGATATGTTCCAGGCAAACGAAGTAGAAAGAAACTTAATTATTAAAACTAGACAATGTGCAAGAATTGTGAAACTAATTACTTAATAAACTATACCAAATACACTTATAATAATAATACTAAACCATGAAATAAAAATTAGAGAAATTAAAAAGGAAGTTTCATTTAGGAAGAATGACATGATAACGATTAACACGAAATATATCAGAAAATATATATAAACAAATACAATATTTAGACATTTAACTATAGCAGTAATGTTGACTAATATAGATATGGGTTCGATTCCAATTATATTTATTTTTAAGAAGTGTTTAAATTTAAAATAACAGCATTATTTTTAAACAGACTAGCTTTTTAGACCAATTTATTTTGAATTTGTCTTTGTTAGATATAGCCTTATTGGTCTATCGTGAATTAATTGGAGGTTCGATTCGCTGCAACACTCTTATTTTGTAAAAAATTACAGAGAGAAAGTTTTAATAATTAGCGACTTATGTAATTGTGAATTTTGTCACCTATTTGTGTAAAACTTTGTAAACTTGACGTACTATTTTAATAAGACTTACTGTATCCTCTTGAAGCAGAAAAGTTGGATTAAATCTGATCAATATTAATTTATTACCTCTGAATGTTGGAGATGGATTGCTTGGAATCGCTGATCTGAACTGTAGGTAGTCAGACCAACAGTCAGCAAGTGATAGTCTTTCCTTCTTATCCAGGAGACCTGGAACAAAATATATTTTAAACAAAAAGATTATAAATTTAATTTTGTCCCTATTTAAAGCAATGTTTTTGTTTTTAAAACCTTACAACACATAAAAATCGTATAGACATACAAACGACCATAGAGTTTCGCGATATTTTTTTACTTACACGATAGTGGGTTCGAGTCCTTTCCGTTTCATTTTTAAATCTGGAATGAATTTTAAATTTCGAACTTATTAGTTTTTATTTTCATAAATATCCTATCCTAGATCAATGAGTGGATAGAACACGAATGATTTAAGCAACAATCGCCATTTACATGCTAGCTCGTGTAATATTGAAACAAACCCCATACTATCCGTATATTTCTCAATAAACAGAACATGGCGTTGCACTTAGCAAGTGGCATTTAGGTTAAGATAAATCGCTGAAACGACTTATGGGATAAAAGCTGAAAAAACGTCTGTGTATTATAAAATAGAGAAACGAATTCTTGCTGTGCGTTTAAACTAGAGCGAGATTGTTAGGTTAGTAAAGTAGAAATAGATCAGGCTGATTTTAAAAAGGCTGCTTATATGTAATTTGATCACAGTATTACATAAAAAGCAAATTTATACCATATAGCTATATTTAAAGTCTCAAATCACGCTTAAAATTAATCTAAATAGAATACGTAATTACCTTCAATGTGAAATATATTAGTTTACTTAATGCGTTTTTAACCGTTAAAAGTGTTTCATTTAAGCATACACGCGTAATTAATCTTTTATTAAATTTAACAGTTATAACATGTTAGAAGGATATAATAATAAAAATAATTTTACATTTTGGCGGTCTTGTTCAACTACTTTCCAACAATAAATCTATAATAATTTTTGCCGCAAATTCAAATGAAGTCATTTTTAATATTGTACATATTCAGTAACGTGACAGAAAAAGTAGACATCTGACATGTAGAAAAATGATAAAAAACTTTTTTCGTATTTAATGTCGCACGCGGTACGTTTAATGTGTTATTAAAAATGACGAGGGCTTTTTAACCGGTGACATAAAAAGGCACTGAACTGTAATGTATTCTCATCACGGTACTTTTGTTAGGACACATTTGTACCCCAGGAAAAACTATACATAATACAGTGAAAATATGGTATGACAAATGTGCGTAATAAATATTTCTACCACAGACGCCGCGAAGGGTGTATTCTGAAAGTGTTATATAAGATTCACGTTGGCTTTATATAAGGAGTCATGCAAATCTGACATATTTTATGCCTCATGTCTGCATAAATCTTAGTATCACTTAACTGAGAATTGCCCTCTAGTTTGTTTTTTAAACGCGCTAACAACATGAACTACTCATTTGAATGGAATAAATATTTATGTGCTGGAAAAATCATTCGTCGAGGAAGACTTTAGACAAACACGGACAAAGGCGGTGAGGAAACATGGGAAATTTTGGAAAAAATGGGAAAAATTTTTTTTGAGCCGGACGTTCGAAAACTCTAAAAAAAAAAAATTATGATAGAATTTTTACTCTTTAAATTATCTCTAAGTCCTCTAACAGAATGAGAAAGTAACTTTCCAGAGAAACGTCTCTATGGATAATTTAGCAATAAGATAACGAATTTTTCTGGACAGATAGTCTTTTATACAAATATGTATATATTTTTATATCAGTTGTATTTTAATGCTGTTCAAATACTTTTTCGGTTAGATACAAGAGAAAGAGATTTTTAATAAATCAATTTTCATGTGTTTGACGAAGCTAATGGCAAAGCTTAAATATACTATTTTCACTTTCACGCCTGATCAAAACTTCGAATTGAACACCAGGTAAATGAAGCTAGGCTTATATAGTATATTAAACAGAAGTTAAAATTTTTCATCGTATTTTTAATCTTTTAAAAGTTTATTTTTTAATACTAAATTTAATTGTTATTGTTTGTGTCAACAAACGGATTATTATTATATTTAGAAGGTACTTAGTGTTGTAAATCATATGGTTTGCTATGTCATATGGTTTGTACCACAATGGCCCATTAAAGAGACATAACTCACAAATGAACAGAAATTATTACATTTAAATTCATCCCGTGTGCCATATTCAAATTAAACGTTGAAAGCGGAACGCAAAAGTTTCGAAAAGCGTAGTTTTAATTATACTTTTATTTTGCAAAAAAAGTCGTTTTTCAGCGAGCCATGGCTCATTAGGAAAATAAGGGTAATTTGAAGTTAAGCGAAACCCAAACTGAGGATTCATTTATGCTTCGGACGTGGTAAATGCTATTTAAAGGTCACAACGGCTTGTAGGTAGAGTTATTGTTTAAGCCAAACATGTAGTTGGCTTTGACCTCCCCGTATCATCTGAATAGCAGCGAATAAAAATAATACGGAGTAACATAGTCACAAACATGTCAAGTTCGATGTCTATTTATTTGTATTTTTAATGTAGCCTTTACCGCGTGCTCGAATTCTGGATGGTGTTGGTAGGACTGGTCGAGGAGCAAAATGCTATAAAGGTTTATATATCTTCCCAATAACAATCGATACTAAAAGCTGTATTTTCCGATATAGTCATATTATGTATATAACAATATATTTAGGAAATTACTTACTCTTTAAAGTCTTATTAGCTATATTATTTAAATTGTGATTAAATGTGTGATTTAAACACGAACGGAACCGCCATCTTTGACGGGCCTGTTGGTGTAATCTGGATATGGGTCTCTGAAGTTCGAATATTCAAAGCCAAAATAGATCGACAATAGTAGTATCTTCCCTCTTGACCACGGGTCCCCGTGACCACGGCTGCTGCAAAACATCCGAAACGTCCGGCCGAAGTTAAAAATCAAATAAGTTTAACTAATATATCGCGTTTTGAACCGTTAAAGTGATTTATTTAAATAGTAGTATTTTGTTTAGGGGTGTTCCATTCACCATCAAGTGCACTGCATGCTTGTCTCTCCTCCGCTACCATTAAAAATTTCCTAGAACCAAAATATCGAAGTGGGACAGTTTAAGTTTTTGATCTGTGCGTGTGTTATAAAAAGAGTAATTTTTCGGTAACTTATTAATTAAATTAAAAATCGATTGTAAATTGAAAAAAATTACGACACAGGCTGGACTTGGACCGGCATCCACAATGGAGCTACCGTGTCCTAAACGTCATCGTCGATTTTTTTTTCAACCTATTGATACACGCACATCTCGCGAAAATTTTTTTTTCTTCGTACATATATATATATTTTTTTTCAATTTATAATCGATTTTTAATTCATATGCGCAAACTATTAAAATTTTCAAACTCATTTATTTTTTTATTTAATTCTAATTTCTAATGTTGTTTTATACATACGTTATAATATTTATCTCATATTCCCCGCATATAAATTTGCTAATTATACATTAAAATGAGTAGTTCAAACACAAAATACATAATGCATGCTAATGGAATAGCGTTTCGCAGTTGTAATTAAATACAGTAGGGCCCTGTTCAGTTTGACAATATCTCGTTCCTTTTGTTCTTTTTTTCTCTGTTTTAACGAGTCATGGCTTAGCACTTACCGTTTAAACAGATGATTTAACCTTATTTAAAATTCGAATAAGTTCCACAGATAATAAATTACTTGCTGAGTCTTCAAAATAAGGAAACATTTTAAACTGACGTACATATAAAAATAAACTTGGTGTACCGCTCGAGGAACATAAGAATTTCCCGGAAACCATAACGTTCGCCCTTCACCAAGTAATCAGAATGTTCAAGATTTGTTAAAAAGTTCCTCTAATAAAATTAAACGTTTAACATAATTTCTGAGGTGTAAAAAGGCATGCTATAATTAACTAAGAGCTGGTGTACCGGGCTTTGAAATATTCCACTGTATTCCAAGAACGCTAAGGTTGAAATCCAATTACGCCAATAAGAAATTGTAATTTAAATTTTTCATAATCCCTTTTGTAAGTAATTGCCTATTAGGTAGTGTAGGTCTGGAGGGCAAAGTCATGTCAATTTGGCCTTAATAATTTTATGCGCAATATTTTTGCCGTTGAGAACATTTAGTAATTGCAAATGTTCGGGGAGGTTGGGGAGAAAAGGATATGTTGTTTTATCATTATAAGAACATTTCGTGAATAAGCGAACATAATTATGTATCTGTGCTGATATTCAGCTAAAGGGTTATTATTTCTTTGAGGTTAGACGTTGAAAGAAGAAAATGGGATATGTATACTAGGATCATTATTATTTTTCACATGATCGCTTTTAAAAACGACGGGATTAAAAGGGACCTAGGTAAAATAATCTACTTTAAATTGTAAGTTAAAAATAATTTATGCCGCGCCGGGTCGTAGTTAAGAATAGATAATGTAATTATTCACGTTTAAAACTGTTACTAGTGATTTTTTTTATTACTCACGTAATATAAATACTTATGGTTGTGTCAGATTTTAAAAGATGTTTAAAGTTATGAAATTTTTGTGCTGCTTTGCTCTTCGTTTCAGATTTAAAAAATAAGAGATATGTTTAATTGTAGAATAATGTGTAAAAGAATTATCTGTCTTTCTTATGAGACAGAAATTATGTAAAAGTTTGGTATTTAAATAAATCACTTTAAGGGTTTAATACGCGATATACATTAGTTAAACTTATTTGAAAATTATTTTAATTACGGGCCAATGTTTCGGAATGTTTGCAACAGCCATAGTCAGGGGGAGACCGTAACGTTAAGCCGTTGTTAAAATAGTTTTCAAATAAGTTTTATTTAAATGTGTACTACTCGCGGAAACTACGACAGTATTTAAGTATTTTCAGTGCGATATTAATTTTCCCACGTTGCACGCATGCAGTACATTATAAATGTAACTTCAAAATATACTACAATGTATACTTGCACATTTAATCTTATTATTGTTTAATAAATTCCACAGTTTCCGTCTCTCATCTGTCTGCACTGTAATAAATATGAGCAATTTCTACAACATTAATGAAGTGTAATTCCCTCTGAGCACTCTCCATATCACAAACTAAACTTGCTTAATACCGTATCATCTCGTGCACTATTAAAAGCTGCGCTATTACAAGACTGAAGTGTATATATTATTCCAATAGTCCTTAATAACATTTATGTATAAATGTTAAATAATATAATACTAGTGCTAGCATAGGGTGAAATCTCTCAACCCCGTTTGTAGGTTTAATGATAGCAATTTGTGACTACTGGTCGCGGGTTTCTTAATTTATCTGGAATATGCTGGACTTCATTGGAAATCGGGATATAAATAGGTGGTAAGAATATTAAAAATTCCGTCCGAATCACGAACTACCGCCCCCAGGTGAAAAATTTCCAAATATCCCAAGCAAAACATAGGCTAACAGCGCATCTTGTGTTCAAGTAAACCTTATGCATACCTCCTCTATCACACAAAAATGTCTTAGATATGGACAAGAAGTTTATACGATTATTGTTTATGTCACGATCAAAGACACCAAAAAATCTACTCTTACTGTGCCATAATTTTTTTTTTTAACTTTTTGCGGAAGCAATTCCAAAAAATATAATAACGCTGAAGCCGCCGAGTTCTTAAAGCTTAGCTGTCATTAAGCGACGCGCCCAACGAAATCGTTAAGTATTCCCATGTTTAATTCGGTAAGAACCTTATCGGCTCTGGGGATCAAGAAAGTTCCAGAAGGCTCCCAATGGGGCGTGAGACGTTTTAATTGAAAACTTGGATCTTGCGCGGGTTGACTGCTCACTGCAGACGAATTAACAGATAGAGAGAATTACTTCCAAGATTGCAGCCTTCGGATAAAAAGTGGGTCTGGAATTAAAAGTTACTATTTAATTTATCTGCAGCGGTTAATTTAGTTTGGGCGACAAATTCTTACCTTGTTTATATAAAATCTGCAGTGTCAGCGATCTCATTCGTGATAAAATAGTTGTTTGGGCATAAAAAATTGTTTTGGCCATGCGACTATAAGGTACGTGCGCGCCCCGTCGTTCTTGTTAGTTAAGCTTAAAAGATATACTGTCGAGCAAGAAAAATCATTCTTTCATATTTATTTTTTGATAGGCATCGGAAACCCACAAGAATAAATAATTTTCCCCGATTTTTTCACATTTACCCCTATTTCTTCACTCCTATTAGTCGCAGCGGTAGCAAGCGGTATTTCCTGAGATTTAGCGCGTCCAAACAAACAAACTCTTCAGTTTTACAAATTAGTATAGATTATTGATGATACGAACATTGTTTTGAGTTGACAACGAATTTAATAAAAAAATTAAATTCTACAACCAACTTATCCTTGCGAATTACGAGCAGATCTTAAATGATCGTTAACTCCAACTTCGAACATATTGTTCAAAATTTAAAACACATAAAACAAACTCATACTCGCTACAACATAATAGAAGTAAGGATGGTACCAAAGACAAAGCAATAAAATATGAAGCGGACAACTTCAGAACTAATTTCGTTATGTACACCTTAAAATGAACAAAACTCCTACTTAATGGAGTAAGTTATTTAAAAGCCATTCGTTAGGAAATTAACTTGTTGACAGCTCCCAAAGGACATTAAAATATTAATTAATTCGTTCATCGGAATCCTGAAACTTATTTAAGTTAGGGTAGACAATTTTCTGGTCAAATACAACTCAAATCTACCTTTAAAAAAATGTCACGTATTTTATGAAGAGGAAGACTTATATGTATATATATATCACCTCCTATATATACCCCACCCATCTTAGCTTTGGATATTTGGACTTATATATATTTTTAATTTAATGATTTACAGTTTAATTATTAATTGAATAAAACTGATTTAATTTATCCAAACGGTGCTAAATTACAACGCATCTTCTTTAAGTACTGCAATAAAATCATATACCGGCTTTTGTTAGAAATTAATAAGTAATGTAAGATAAAATTTAATAATAATAAGTTCAACGTTATAATTAAAACGAAGACTAGACCAGGTCTCTTCTGACCAAGGAAATAAAGCCCCCGTGTCCATAGCTGGTAAAACACTATTGGCGAAAAAGAAGTAAGTTCTATAAAAATTAATTACGATACATCCATACAACTTTTCATACCTCATTCAACCCCTTACTACCTTTTTTTCGTACACTAAAAGGTTTTACGATGCAAAGGCGCATTCAAGGCAACCAATCTGTCTCTTTGTTCTCAGGCTCTAGAATATCTGTTGGTACACAGATTATTTCATTTAAATCGATTCTGTAGTTTCGACGTAAAAGCCGGACAGACAGACAAAGTTACTTCCGCATTTATAATATTAGTAGTGAAGTATAGTAATAATAATAATTATTATTATTTATACAAAACAATTAAAACCGCGATAGCCACTTACATTAATTGGATAGAAGTACACAATAGAATTACACTTAAAAATAGAGTATGCATCAATTACATTAGGACAAAATGTAAAAATTAGACAATTCTCGTAGTATTGAGGACCATTGATCTGCGAAAAGGTCACATTTGGGTCTTAACTTGAGGAGAGCGTTGAGTGAGGTTAAAATTCGTGGTATCAGCGAAAATATAATATTATTATTATTACTTAAACAACTTGAGATTATGTTCTAATTATTTACTCTATAGTAAAAACGACTAGTCCCCACTCTATAGTATGTAGAAAATCCAACAGAAATTCGAGAACATTTACGTAAACAATGTAAAATTATGGTCAAGCCATCGTCAGTCGAATAAATAGAAGGAACATTTGCGTTAACGATATTGTTTGCTGATTTCCTAGTTTGATTTGGTCCGACTCAGCGTAGCGAGAAATTAATGATAATACGTCGCTATAAATTTAGTAGGCTTATTATAGTTAGACATTAATAAAGTTAGAATATGAAAAGATTTTTTTATGATACAGGCAAGCGTGCACAAGCACAAAGTGGAACCCCCTTGATGGTAGGCGGAATACACCGGCCCTGTAACATGTAAACCAGACCTATTTTGGTTTTGGATATTGGTAATTTTTAATTTTCACCCGTGGTGGATGGTTTTTAAACCGGACGGAATTTTGATATTTTTACTACCCATTAGATATCCAAATTTAGAAACATGGTGGATCCCAACGGATCCACTATATTTCTAATCACACTCGACACACGACTCCTTGATTATGAGATCATAAAATTTTTACATTAATGATAGAAAAAAACTTGAAAAAAAAATGTAATAAAACATTTCAAGACGGTTTAAAATGCAAACTAAATTGTTTAATCAGATATACCGGCAGTTAAAAAGGAAGCAAGGTTATGTAAACACTTGTATAAATGATTCATGCAAATCTATTTCTTATTACATGTAACTAAATCTAGCTTAAGGTTAGGTTTTGAAGGTGACGTTCGCAATAAAAAGAAAAACAAGGGAAAACTTTCCAATGAATTCAGTAATCCGGTCTGTCGCCGAAACGATCGCTGCTGTAAGTTTTTCATTTTCATTTTTATCCCCCACATTTTCTTAAATCTATCATTATTGATAGAGCTCCTTACAATTTTCTTTTTTTTTTGAACGCGGAACTAGGTACTGGTTCGAATAGAAAATTTATTTTTGTGTTGGTTATAACATTTATCGGGAAAAGTTAATATGTATGAAAGAATGATTTCTCTTTAAATGATCTAAAACAACACTATATGTCTATCTTTCAAGATTAACTTGTAGGAACGACTGGACGTGACCGATGTCGTGGGTAAAGCTTAAATTTATAAAGATAAGGAGAGGTTTGAAAAACAAATTTGGATGGCCAAAATAACTATCCTACGCGGACGAAGTCGCTGACACAGCTAGTTTAATATAATAATGATACGCCGAGTAATTAAAATATAATTGACATAGCAAGCAAATTTGTAAGTATTCTCTTAGGTGACAATAAAGAACAAATTTCTTTGAAGTGTCAACTAATATAATCGCTTCTAAGGTATTCAACGGTACTCAAAGACACTGTTTAATTTACAAAGGTTGAAATTTCTGTAATAATTTAAAGACCGAAAAGGAATTAAATACTTGAAGACTTACAAAAAAATAAGATTAACGAATTTATTGTGACTAAGAAGATTTAAGATCTTATCGTACCGTTTTGACTGTGAAAACTCTGGTAAAATGAAACTTGGCGATAAAAAGAGTAGCGGAGTCGGCGAGTTCTCCACATTCGTTCTAGGTCTTTTTATGAGAACTGTTGGTTATTTAATCTTTTTGAATTTAGTATTAACATTAATATATGATAGATAAAGGTTTGAATTTTCATCAATCAGTTTATATTACTTTTCTGCATAATGGTGTTACAAGCGCATTTCACCTCACCCTTTACCTCGCTCAAGACAATAAAATGGAAGCGCAAGCAGCAGATGAGGCTGTCGATATCCACCAATTAGTCCACTAGTTATGAGAACTTAATTATGCAATTTTAATTAAAGTATTAATAAAATATTGTCTTTTTTATGGTTCACCGATTGCTCTTGCCTAATAATGCTGTAAACTTTCTTTATTTACCAAATACTGTACACTACTACTACTATTAAGCAAAAATAAAACACCTCATTAAGAAAAAGAAAATGCCATAGAAACCAAATTCAATACTTACGATACCATCCCCAATATTTCTGATGACGCAAGGCAACAACGCAGTTGAGCCAATCTGTGACGTCACCAGCGTGTTGTTTTCAGTAGCGAAGTGTTTCTCTAAAGTGCTCGTATAGATGTCTTCTAGTGGAGGGAAGGATACTGTCAGCTCGTTGGAATCGTTGAGTTCAGGTCGTTCAGTTGACGGCGTCTGGGTAGAGCCTGAAAAATATATATTCATTAACCTTTTAAGAACGCCCAGGGGCTTTGGTTTTGACCTTCTGAAGTGTCAACTTCAAAGGACTGTGTGATGACATATGTTAAAGAAGTTAAGATAACTAAATTATACATAAAGGTATAATTTAGTTACAATTAAGTTATGCACTAATTAAAATTATGATCAAAGTCTTGGCTATAAATAATAAGATTATATTCATAATCAATCAAACTTAAGAATACCTGAAAACATTAATATTTTTCACATGTTATTGCACATGAAGGCACTATATAATTTAAAAATCGAAAATAAATTGAAAAAATTTTCGATTCGGGCAGGACTTGAACCGGCATCGTCAGCTTTCCGTGCTGTTGCTCTACCAATTGAGCTACCGAGTCCTACACCTCATCGTCGAATTTTTTCAACTTATCGATACATGCACCTCTCGCGCAGTGTAATCTCAACCTTAACACTTGCGTTTTTTCAATTTATTTTCGATTTTTAAAATTAATAGGATGTCTTAAAAAATGCAATGGAGCAAGATAACGTGTAGTTACTAACTTAAGTTGTCATAAATACACAAAGGTATTATAGCCTCAGCATCTGTCGTGACACTTAAAATCTGTGTTTCACGTGCTAGACACCTTTTATCTTTACCCTTTGTAACCCAAACACGCTAACGAAATGAACGCGTTTTCGAAATTAAATGGCAAGAATTACAAGTATAATTCTGTTTAAGGCAATTAACTTCAAAGGGAACGCTTAAGTGAAATTATTTAGCTACCTGTTTCTTGTACTGTATCTGTACTGATATTATAAAGCTGAAAAGTTATTCTTCTTTAAATGATCAACCAAATGTCCCCAAAACTATTGCAATATGGATACGAGGGGCCGGCCATTTTTAAAAATAATGACCCGTCATTTTATTTCTTACTAGTGACCCACCCCCACTTTGCTCGGGTACAATGCTGATACTAAATACACAACGGAAAGCTGTGAACCATCCTCTTGAATCACTCTATCTATTTAAAAAACCGCATCAACCGTTGTGTAGTTTTAAAGATTTAAGCGATAGACCGAAAAAGCGACTTTGTCTTATACTATGTAGTGATTATGACGAGGAGAGCTGGATGAAATATAGAGAACAGAGAAATCTATTCAAAATTCAATGCAGGAAAGAAAACACAAGCGGATGGAGGGCGTACTGCGAAGGGATTGAGAAATATCCGGACGCAGCACGAATGGTAAAAACCCTCTCCGCAGTAAAATCGTGTAGGCTTGAAAGCATAAAGAAAGACGGGATGCTAATAACTGATCCCAAAGAAATCCTCATGGAAATGATGGAAGTACATTTCCCGGATTGTGAAGAACACATAGGAGATGATAGCCCTGAAGATGAAAACGGAAATAGTAATCAGGCACAGGAGACTATCATCACAGAGGAAAAACTAGAGTGGAGCATTAGGTCTTTCCAGCCATACAAGGCTCCGGGACCAGATGGAATATTTCCAAAGATGCTTCAAGAAGCATATAAAATAATTAACAAGGACCTTCTGGTATTGTTCAACAGCAGCCTACTTCTAAGCTATATTCCAAGCAAGTGGAGAGAAGTTAGGGCTGCATTCTTACCAAAACCAGGGAAGGGATCGTATCAAGACGCTAAGGCATTCAGGTGTATCAGTCTGTCGTCCTTCATTCTGAAAGCCTTAGAAAAGATAATAGATAGAACGATAAGAACAAAACTAGATAAGAGCAGATTTCCCCTACATAATAATCAACATGCATATATGGAAGGGAAGTCAACGGAGACGGCTCTGCACAATATTGTAGTAAGAGCACAAAGAGCCATAGAGGGGAAGGAATATGCATTAGGCTGCTTCTTTGACGTTGAGGGTGCTTTCGACAGAGCAAACCCGGACGCAATCGAGGCAACCTTGAGCAGAGAAGGAATAGGTACGGACATTGGCAAATGGATAAGAAACATGCTCAAGCACCGGCTGATACAATCAGACATTGCAGGAGTTAAGTACACAGTGAAGGCTAGGAGGGGATTTCCACAGGGTGGATGTTTATCTCCACTATTGTGGTGTCTCCTTATAGACGAGCTAGTCAATCGCATCAACTCGATGCATATCTACACACAAGTCTATTCAGATGACGGAGCGATAATGGTGACAGGGAAGGTCCTAGGCACCATATGCACGATCATGAATAAAGGACTAAGGGAAATAGTTAAATGGTGCAGGAGTAAGGGACTGAACCTTAATCCTGATAAAACCAAATTAGTACTTTTTACGAACAAAAGGAAGCTAGGAAATAGAGAACCAGTTCGCATAGATAACTCAGAACTAGAACTAGTAAAAGAGATAAAGTATCTTGGTGTAACACTGGATAGCAAACTCAGTTTCAGCACTCATATCAGAAGCAGTTGCGCAAAGGCAAAGGCCGCAATGCTACAATGCAAAAGTGCTATAGGTCGAACATGGGGATTGAAGCCAAATGTTGTCGCCTGGATATACAAGGCGATAATATTACCCAGAATCACCCATGGCGCAATAGTATGGTGGCATAAGGCCTCGCTAAAGTCCAATAAAATAGAACTAGACAAAGTGCAGCGATTGGCCGCATTGATGATCACGGGTGCAATGAGGACGACTCCAACAGCGGCACTTGAGATCATCCTTGGACTAATGCCATTAGATCTAGAAATAAAAAGGAAAGCTACGGAAACGTGGTTCAGGTTAAAAAGCGCAGACCTATGGAAAGGAAATATCATGGACACAGGTCATGCTAGCATAGGTAAAGTAAATGACAAGAACATGTCAATGATCCTTGCAAACAATGATCTCATACGTAAGGAAAGGATTTTTGACAAGAGATACAGAATCCACATTGGGGAAAGGCAGAAGTGGAGAATAGACTTGGAAAATGTGGGCACGGTGTGCTACACAGATGGTTCCAGGAAAGAAACGACAAAGCTCTCTGGGTCAGGCATATATATGAGATGCGAGGACGGAACAGAGATAACAAGATCAATCCCTCTGGGGAAACTTGTTAGCGTATTCCAGGCGGAGTTATTCGCCATCATGGAATGTGCAGAGATTGCCAGGCACTTAAGACCCCTGTCAAGTGTTACTATTTACAGTGACAGTCAGGCGGCACTTAAAGCGCTATGCAAAGAAGAGACAACATCTGCTATTGTCAAAGAATGCAAGAAAGCACTGCACAAACTAACTGATCAGGTAGAAGTGGCAATTGCCTGGGTCCCCGGACACCAAGGAAATATTGGCAATGAGAGAGCGGACGAACTCGCTCGCGAAGGAGCCGATGAAAGCTTGATTGGGCCGGAACCGAGACTTCCGATAGCCCATAAAGTAACCAAGGGAATAATCGAGCGCAGAATCATAGAAGAAACAAACCAAAGATGGAAATCTTCGACGGGAATGAGACAGTCGAAGATATTCATACATAGCCTAGACAAAAAGAAGACCAAAAACCTGATGAGATTAACGAGAGCGAACATCCGACTCATCGTAGAGATCATAACAGGACATTGCCGTCTAAACAGACATCTTACAATGATAGGAATAGGCAGCGACCCCCTATGTCCGGAGTGCAGAGAAAGTGAGGAAACAAGCATCCATCTACTCACTGAATGCTCTGCATACTCGAGGCTGAGACAAACACATATGGGTTCGGACGAAATTACAGAAGATGAGATCAAAGAATTACAGATGGAAAAAATTATAAGATTCTGCAAGCAAACCGGAAGGTTTGAAGGGGACACGGGGAGAGTTGGATGACCCAAAACCTCCACAAGGTGGAAATGGGGAAATGGGTGAAATGGTCAGCTGATAGTGTGAACTGATCACCCGTCCTACCACAGGTGTCCCCGAGAGAAAATAATAATAATAACAATGTAGTGATTATCAAATACTTATTGTACATAATCGTCATAATATTCTCTGTAACGAGTATTTTAAGCTACGTACGATCCTGAGAGCCCTTGAAAAATATTTCATTTTATATGCAAATAATATATCATTTTAGTATTAAAATTCGATGGTACTCAAAAGTTTCGTGTAACGAATATCAGTTTGTATTTAATAAATAAATACTAACTGCGTTTGACATTCTATTCGCGCAGTTGTATTTGATATTTACCTTTGCACTCTTTTGGGCGTTAGATTAGATAGTTTTGTTTTTATTAAACGGTTTTATTTAGCTGGATACGTACAGAATTTATTTGCTTGGGTCAAAATTAGAAATTGAAATTGAAAAACCTTCCCGTTTTCAGATTGATCTGAAATTTGGTACACACGTTTAATTTAGATGACAATACAATATAATAAAATTAATAACATTATAAATCCAAGATGGCCGCCAATACAAAATGGCGGATTACATATTTTTCCTTAACCCTCTCAATATGCGTATCAAATGAAAGGGCTACACTAGTAAAACAGGAAGATTATGTCAAAAAAAATGTTGTAGTTTTTAGTGCACAAAAAATAAAACTGTTTAACTTTAAAGTTGTTTACAGATTTTTATTGTTAATGTAAAAGTGAAATGTAATAAAATAAAATAGTCAAATACTCTAAAGCCGGCCCAAAGTTAGTGAAATCCAATTATAATAAAGTACATATTTCAAAGAAGGTCCATTTCTTATATTCAATAAAAATAAATTGTTTCATGAAAGTGAATAAATATTAAGGCTCATTTTCATATGATTAATAAATATTCTATTTATGAATATTTAACTAACTTTAACTAAAAGTGACAATCGGAACGTTTGAGAGGGAAAAGTTAACTTACGACAGCCTCTCTATCGACTTTTAATCTTTAGTAGGCACGTCGAAAAAATTATTGAAGCGCCAGTTACGTCTACTTTAACTGCTTACCAGGGATGGCTAACCGTCATTGACTGACAGTAAGTTATTGGGACCGGCCGTTAATGTACAAAATTTTACATTCTACATTGACATGTAGACCATGCGATTCATAAAATATTAAATATATGTTTGTATTTTTTATTTTTTTTAATACTTAAGTCAATATAATACTATTATTGTACTGATATTAAATATTTTACGGGCAGTATAACTAAATATCCGTTTAAAATCTTAAAAACGACGCACAATGAAAATGTACATTTTATTTTAACTTAATTCTATGGAACTCTTAACAAAATTGGAAACTCGCAATCGGGTTCAATTTCATTTAAAACCCGATGTCCAAAGAATTTTTGTGAAATGTACTCGATATAAACAAGGACATTCGATTCGAAGACGAAATTACCGTGTAGCTATAAGTTGAGATGAAAGATGTTTTGAATCGAATCTGAATCATATGTGTCTGCCTGTGGCTTCGTGTGAAAGAGTTATTATGGGCACCATATATTTATTATTGCAAAATTTTTGCGCAGCTTTCTAAAGCAAGCAGCATGTAACGGAAGTTCTCGAAGATAATTAATTTTTCCCGTTTTCCTCTGTTTGTTTATTAGTCACAGCCTGAAGTTTCCTTTCTCCATAAATGGTTTAACTAAAAAAAAAAAACTTTATAGTTCACGCGAGTAGTACACATTTAAATAAAACACTTTAACGGTTTAAAACGCGATATGTATTAGTTAAAATTATTTTTAACTACGACCCGATGTTTCAAATGTTTTCCAGTAGCCTTGGTCACGGGGAGATTAAAGGTGGAAATAAGAAAAATAAGTTTAACTATCGCGTTTTAAGCCGTTAGTGTTTTATTTAAATGTGTACTACTCGCGTTAACTACAGACAGTATTTAAAAGAAATATTTTTCCATTCGAACCTGAGATTAGGGCGTTCAAACGAACAACCCCACTCTTCAGGTTAATAATATTAGTTCAAGTAATAAATGGTATTTTAGATCAATAATCATTATGTGGGAGAACAAATAGTCTATGAACGGGCATGGTTTAATAGCAATCTAGTGTTTCAACAAAACTAATAGATGTTTTTAATCACCTTATTGCATATAACATAAAATTTGTATACAAAGTGTCCCACGAAGAAGTGATTACTTTGTTTTGTATTGTGTGTTTGATTTGAACGATAATTTCATTAAGATTAATTTATAAAAAAAGTTTTTCCCCTAAGTTATGCATGATGTAAAGATATTAATAAAACAAGAATAATATTTGCAAAATAAAAAAAAAAACTTATACTTTTCCATGCTTTTTGATTTTGATTTGATTATGGAATTCTACTATTGTATTAATTTAAAATTCAGATTCTTTGAAAGTCTAACTGCTTCAGAAAATATTAAAAAATTTTCTTCGACCATGAACCACGCTCGTCAAACGGTAACTTTAGTTGGCTATTCATATTTAATTATTTGTCGAGTACGTCCGTATCTTCTAACTTCACCTCGTTTTATGTAACTGTAAACTTTACGAGTTCTTTTTATAAGACCGAACCCTAAAAGGCACATAAAACACTTTTGACCCGGTTAACAAGTGGTTCGTTAAGACTTCACAGAATGCGCCTTTCTATCGTCAAATTCATACAATACGAAGGCATGTATAAATAGTTTGCATTTTAAGGGCTCTCGCGCGAGAATCTTAAGAGAGGATAAAAAATTCACATCCATATTCAACCGGGTTTTCAGAGAATAATGGTCGTTTTGTCGCGCGCTTTTCCGGGGACGCGGAAAGAGGGTTATGCCTATTGAGGGCTGTATATTTATATATTCTGAAAATCGCGACTGTTTGTTTTAAGCATAGGGTGGAAATAATTTTAAACTTTCGAACGTTCAAATTCAAAGTCAATATTGAATTTTGTATTTGTTACTTATAACTTTCTTTTTTAGTTTGTCTTGTCTTTGTTAAAATCCAAAATAAACGCATCTTGTTTAGATATGGCTTGGAGCATTTCACCATTGAGAACCCCAAGCTTGCCTAAAAAATATTGCTTAGATTTTGCAGGATGATTAAAAAAAAATGTTTTTTTATTTAATTTCATTTCAATAGGTTTGTTTCCCGGGAAAAAGAGTAGTTGTGGGATTAATCTTCTATTTATTTAATATATAAATTGATTATATAATAAACAGACTTTATTTTAGAAAGGTATATTTATATAAAAATAAATACACGTATTATTATTAAAGTTACATAACTAACTCTAATTATAATATATTTTGTTTAAAGTTCGATTTATGTAGACACGTATAAGAAGAGTTTTTTTAATACCTTTATCCATAATTAAATTAATTCGCACATTTCTTTTTAATTAAAAAAAAAGTTGGCGCTATAGAATTAAAGCAAGGTAAATACGCCGATAACTCGCAGCGAACCATTCCCGTAGAACACTGTAGAGCCCTCATAGAATATTGCTAACCCGGCACACACTTGACCGGTTTCATCTACAATTCTAAAGGCCTACTTACATACGAAATGTAATCCGCAGCTGGGTGGCAAACAATTGTGCTTTTATTTCGTAGCTGCAACTCAGCCTGAATACAAATACTGCGGTAACACTAATTAGCCTTCTAAATAATCTCTATATGTAATAAAATTGCTGTCTGTACGTAAGAGATTATAATAAAATGTTTCTTTAGGGAGTTTAATAGTACCAGTATAAGGTAAGGAAGTAAAACAAAAGTTTTATTTGAAAACTTTAATATTTTTCACATGTTATTGCACATGGAGGCACTATATACATATATACTATAGGCATCGTCAGCGTTCCGTGATGTTGCTTTACCAATTGAGTTACCGAATCATTGGTAGATCGGCTAAGCAACAGCACGGAACGCTGACGATGCCGGTTCAAGTACTGCCCGAGTCGAAATTTTTTTCAATTTATTTTCGATTTTTAAAGTTTAAAAGTTTTATTTTTTGAATGTTTGTTCGCTAGATATAAAAAAATGCCGAGTTTTGACAGGGCCAATGGCTCATAATAAACGGGTAGTGTAGTAGTAATTTATAATTTTCTGAAACATGAAGAAATTGAAATCTAATTTTAAGTAGGTGGTAGGAATATCGAAATTCGTTCCGGGTCGGGTTCCGGGGGCGGCCCGGGGGTTTCCCGGGGAAATCCCAAGCGGCGGGGTTTTTTGTTTTGTGGGTTTTTGGGGGGGGGTTTCCCCCCCCCCCCCAAAAAACCCCCCCCTTTTTTCCCCCCCCCCCCCCCCCCCCCAAATTTTTTGTGCCCCCCCCCCCCACAAAAAAAAAAAATTTTTTTTTTTCCCCCCCCCCCACCCCCCCCAATTTTTTTTTTTTTTTTTTTATTTTTTTGGTGGGGGGGGCGGGCCTTCCCCCCCCCCCCCCCCCCTTTTTTTATATTTTTTTTTTTTTTTTTTTTTTTCCCCCCAAAAAAAAAAAAAAAAAAAAAAAAAAATTTTTTTTTTTTTTTGGGGGGGGGGGGGGGGGGGGGGGGGGGGGGGGTGGGGAAGGGAGTGGGTTGAAAAGGGGGGGGGGGGGGGGGGGGGGCCCCCCCCCCCCCCCCCCCTTTGTTTCCCCCCCCCCCCCCCCCCCGCTTGGGTGCAAAACCTTTTGCTGTACGAAGGAGAGGTAGTAAGGGGTTGAATGAGGGTTGAAAAGTGGTGTGGATGTATCGTAATTAATTTTTATATAAGTTACTACTATTACAAAAATGTACTCAAATAAGCATATACAATACACTATACAATGGATGTAATTAGTATAAATACTTTAATAATCTCTTTGCAGTGAATTTTTTAACATTTTCTAATTTCAATAAATAAATAACAGCCAAAATAAATAAAAATTCTACCCAAAGTCACTATTCACGCGAGGTGCGGGCACAGCTAGTACTATAGTTCATATTTTTTTTACCATCAACGACAACAGTGAGTGTTCTAAATCTGTTTGGACTATTGTTGTTTAGGTTGTTTTATTTGCAAGCAATTTACTCAGCCTACCCGAAACAATTTGTCATGTTCCCCTGGGATTTGAACCCGGGACTCTCAGGCGAGCAATTAATCATTCAGTCACAAAGGCTGGCATCTAAAGCCAATAAGTAAATTAACATAAAAAATATATAGAATTACTCAGTTAAAGAAAAAGTAAATTGATAAGCTCTATGTTCAATTTAGTAAAATAAGCTTTACTTTTTATGACACTAGCTGTGTCAGCGACTTCGTCCGCGTAGAACAGTTATTTTGGCCATCCAAATTTGCTTTTGCAAACCTCTTCTTCTTTTTAATTTAAGCTGTTACCCACGACGTCGGTCGCGTCCCGTCGTTCTTGCAAGTTCTTCCTTAAATTCAAGTATAGCGTCGCGGACATTTTTTTGATCATTTAAAGAGGAATCTTTCTTTCATGCATATTTTGGGGGTATCTTGAACCTACACAGATAAATAATTTTTCCCGTTCCTTTTTACATTTTACGCTTTTTCTTCGCTCTATTAATCACAGCGTGATAACCTTCCTCGATAAATATTCTATCTACCACAAAAATATTTTGAACCAGTAGTTTCTAAGGTAAATGCGTTCAAACAAACAAATAAACAAACTCCTCAGCTTTATGTATTTGTATAGTTTAATTTAAAGATTTACCTTCTCCCGCACCAATCGCAGTGTGGACAAGAAATACAACGATGCACAAACATCGCTGTCCCTCCATCGATATTAAGTCACGGGCTAAATGCCTGGAACAAACACACATAAAATTACAAATCAAAAACTCACTTTAATAAAATGTTAATCGAATTTGCACTATCGTGTCTTCCATAGATAATATAGAAAGGCGCCAAACTGTGTTCCACAGATAAATAATAAAACAGATATCAATATTATGGCCTTAGAAATAATATTGTCCAAAAATTATAAAGTAAGCCAGTTTAAAAAGACTTACATAGTAAATCACAAAGCAACTTAAACGGTTTAAAACGTGAAATATTATATATTATTAAATATCAGTTAACTTATGTTAACTATTTACCGCCGTCTCGGTTTTTCCTTCGTGACCACAGCAGCTACAAATTTAAAATAAATTCAGGATAAGTTAATATACATAATTTAAGTTTTAAACCATAAAAGGAATTCTAGTTCATTTTTAATCACACCAATAATTTATTGGAATTGTTTCTATCAATAAAACTAATTTTTAGGTCCTAAATTGACCATTAAAAATTCCAGCTTATCATTTTGTCAAAGCAAGCTTTTATGCGTATACAGAATAATATTTGATAAAATTGAAACCCAAAATGCCAGTACTTTATAAAATAGTTCGTGTTATTAAATTAATCGTTATTTCGCCCGTCGTATGCAAATTGAAATCCTTTGGCTTTAAAGCCAATAATTTGAATATTTTGCTTTTGTCAAAGGGTGCCACCGAAAACTTTGCGAAAATAATTTTTGGTAAAATAAGTTCGGCTTGAAATTCTATCGATATATTTAAAAGCCATTTTCATGAAATAATATTCACAATGTTTGACAATTTCATTTAAGCTTCTCTGAAGTGAAAAGTGCTTTTATATAAAATATCACAAGTTTTACAGAAATAATAATTATTTTTTCAGTAAAACTTATTACAATCTAGAATGCTTCGCGATTAATACGTAAAAATGATTTATCTATTCACTGAAATTGATCTAACAAAAAATTACACTAGAGCTTATGATTGTTACCTTAACCGGACGGTTTGATAATTAAGTTATTCTTAGCATAAAGACAAATAAAAATATCTAATTTAAGTTTAAACTATATATTTAAATGTTTTTTTTCTTGTGATAGAGGACTTGGGGTTCATGAGTTGTAGTATGAGTACCTCAACCATATAACATCTCAAAAAAATGCGATGTCGGCCTATTTTGGCTTTGTATATTTTAGTTTAACCGGCGTATGTATGGAAATTTAAACTTCACGGCTCTGACTTTGAGCGTGATCGGTGGTTTATGTTTCGGACGAAATTCGGAAAAATAAAAATTATTGGAAACATATTGAATGGCGGGGAAACCTGTGACCCTTTATATCTACGATTAGCAGTGTATATTTTTATTTTTTAAAGAAGACAGTCTTTGTATAACTTTACCGTTGTGTCAGTCATAACTGTTTTACATTATTTTTACCTAAAAGTTAATAAAATGATAAATAAAAAAATATAAGTGGCATCATTGTTAAATGTTCAAACTATAACTTATTTGATTAAACGATTTTCTAAGCTGCAGGCATACGACGTTGACCTAATGCCAGATGCTAAGGTTGAAATTATATTGGCGAGAGGGCATTTTTTAAGTTGAAAAAATTCGCGGATGAGGTGTGGGACTGGGAAGCCCAATGGGTGGAGGGCCGTAACCCTGCCGCCGGGGGTTTTTTTCGTTTTTTAAAATATATTTTTTTTGGCAGAAATTTTTAAAAAACCTGCAAAGCATTATTCAAATAAAACACTTTAACTCAATAAAACGCTCTATGTTAGTTAAACTTCGTTGAAAGTGTTTTAGGTTTGGATGCTTTAAATATTTTAAATTGTGTACTAAACCTAAAGCGTTTTATTTAAACTATCGCGTAAACTATAGACAGTATTTAATGCTTGATTCAATAAATAAAAAAAATAAGATGAGTTATTTTTCTCATCCCACATAATACGATTCCTGTTCAAATATTCTATATGTCCATTTCAAAACGTCAGCGTGGAAATAAGGTTGACGTGTCAAAGAGTTTTTGTTCGCGACAGAAGCGAACAATTGTTTCCGTTTCAAGCTTAGGTCACTCAAATTTATTTAACATTTCATGAAACGTATGACTTTATGTAAAAGGCTTGAAAAACACAACTAGACTTTTAATTAAAATTTCATTTTGCAAAAGCCACAGTATTGTGTTTCAATTTAGCATATTTGGGCTTAATCCAGGTGAACCGATAGACAAAAGACAATCATACTGTCATTTTGCAGAGTATGATGAAAGAATTTTGATAATTTTGTAACTTGTTGTTTTTAGTCGTTCATCTGTTTAACTGTAAAAATTTATAAAAGGTACATCACTTTGTTGTTATTGTTACTTTATAAAGGTTAATATAAGTAACGCAATAAGACAACGCTTAAGTTTTTATTTACAGGTAAGTAGTTACACCTAAATAATTAGTTATTTTCCCGGGATTCGAATCCAGAAAACTCGCGATTATCGTATTTGCCTAGTATTGCATTTAAACATTAAAATATGGAGATATTCACAATTTCAATTTTTTGCCAAATAAATTGAATACCTAAGCACGCGAGAACCGTTTAGTTTAAAATTTCCAATTTATTTAATAACAAGGGGCTTTATAAGATCATAAATACGCCTCATGAACAATAAATCTCTGCTCTTACCGAAAGATAATTCTCTTCGAAATTCCCTAATTAAACCATCTCACCAACAATCAAACAATTTAGAGACAGAATAAACAAAACAGAACTCTTCCGAACAAACGGTTTCCTGTTTGGCGCGATTTCGAATTTTCCGCTTGGCCAATTAAAATTTTAACTCCGAATTCAGAATTTTCGATAATTTATGAAATGCCGTAAAATATATATCTTTATACAACGATTAAGATGGTTATAAGACCAAAGCGAAACATTGGTCCCTTTACGGCCCCCCTCCGGTTCTTCCCCCCCCCCCCCAAAAGAAAAAAAAGGGGTGCGATTTTTTTTATAATACCCTTTTTTTTTGGCCCTTTGATCGTTCGCAGGACCTATTTTTTATAAAAGAGGAAGACAGACAAGCATGATGATTCACTTGATGGCAGGTGAAATATTCCAGTCATATAACATCTCAACGAGATGCGCTGTCCGTATAGTTTGGCTCTATACGGAAATTCACAGGCTGAAACCGAAACGCGATATAAGCTCACAAATTTTTTAGCGGCCGATGTTTTTGATATCCCCACCAACCATTTAAAGTAGACTAGACTAGTAGATTTCCAAACAAAGTCCAACGTGTTCCAGCATAATTAAAAATTGATTAGAAACATACAGTGTTGATCGAACCTTTCTTTACTGTGTGTGTGTACGGTAATAGTGACACGGGGAGTGTGGTAAATCGTGTAGCCGACCAGAACCACTAAGTGGTGATCGAATCTATGACCGATCGATTTTTAGCTATACTATTGCTACCATGTGACCGCCGAGCCCATCTAGTATTGCGTAAATTAGCAATCGTTGAGAATATTAAATTTGAATAAATTGTAATCAGGGTCTGCCTTCGCAAGAACATATAATCCTTGTAAGTGCGTCATTATATTTAGCTGTACCAGAATCTATGTATTATTCACACAACCTAATTTCCTAAGCCCTATGCATGTAAAACTTTTACGATCTAATACATTATTATTTTTATAACGCCCATAATACGTCTTGGGGAACGTAAATAAGACTGAGGAAATACAGCGATGAGAGAAATAATTCTTTCTAAGAATCTTTTCATACACAAAACATTTTTATACAGGTTTTCCTTCTTAGTTTTATTAGGCGCTTACACAATAATATCTACTCGTGTATAATTCTATGAAATTTGGGAGTAATATTATTTTCGAGGTACGAAAATGCTTAAATTAATAAAAAACATATTGATACAAGTACAAAAAACGAGAAAATATACACATACCTATCTTTTTTAATATTATATTTTTTCCCCGTGGATATTTTATTGACGAAGGCTTTAGGCTATTAAACATCAGGCTGTGCCCAATAGGGGCGAAGAGATAGTGGAAAATTTGGGAACATTTGTATGTAATTTTTCCTAAGAATCACTTTTTTTTTTTTTTTTTTTTAAAAAAAAAAAAAATTTTTTTTCAAAAAAACTTTCCCCCCCCCCCTCAACATAAAAATATATATTCACACTTGAAACATGACCATTTAGATACAGAGCATAAATAATGAAAAATTAGACGCTATAGTCCGAAAACCTTGGACCTGGACAAACAACGGCCGCGCTAGTAAATGACAGCCGCTGTCTAGAATAAGAGCCCTTAATTTAAGACGAAGCGTAATTGGAAGCAATCGAATACGCAATAATAACGTTTTCATTGCTTCGTTACGCCTGAAAACCTTCGTTACTCCTAATTAAGTGCTAAATATACAGCTAAATAGATGTATTTGATGTTTTCAGCGAATTAATTTTGTGTTTGGTATAAGCCGAATGTTTTTATGATAGAAGAGGATAGACAAACATGGGGTTCTCTTGATGGTACTAGAAGATGGGCTGTCGACGTATGGACGTAGGCTTTGACAGTCGTGAATCCACAGACGGAAACAGAAATGCGATTGAACTTTACGGCTTTTTCGTCTAAAGACGCTGGATCTAGATTCCGAGACGTGTAATGTGTTTTAGAAAATTTACGAATTTATTAAAAACATGTTGGACGCAATAGGGATCGAACCCGCGACTCGTTTATTTTAACCGTCAGAAACACTCTACTGTAATAATGTTACAATTTCTTAGTACATTCGCCAGCCGCCATTGCTCCAAATTATAAAGACCAGAGAGAACCACAGAGTAGTACCACATTAAGAATTAACACTGTACACAGATAAATAATTATTTTTAGTTTAAAAACATTACTCTATTATTCCTCGTTGTCTCTGTACAGTTATAAAAAGTTAAAGTTGACATATTTCTGTATCCTGCACGTAGTGACGAAATAAA